GGGGGGGGGGAATAAGGAGGAGGAGTCCGGACGGCCCTCTCTGTTGATGGAGAGCCGTGTTGTCACTGTGTGCTAATAGTCATGTGAGAGTGTCGGAGATTTCACAAGAATGATTTCATCACATGTCAGGAGTGCCGAGCAAACAGCGTGTGGGCTGATATTACACCTATGCAGGAGCAGGAACTACAACTCCCAGCATGCACTGCCAAAGCCCGCCCACCGGAGACACCCGCCATACTGGAATGTCTTCCTCTGATTTTACCGCATACTGCGAGCTCCTCACAACGTGCATCAGAAGCTGCAGCAAGTCAGACAGAGCTCCGCCTCCTTTCCTGGCTGGAGGACGTCCGGTATGATCTTATTGGTTCTGGGGTAGGGGAGGTTCCTTTTAGGCAGCCAATGACGGCTCAGATAAGAACCAAATGAGCCGTATGGAGTCAAGAACTGATTTTTATATTAGAATCCGTGTTCATTAAAAACACATTTCAGGAAGCAGACAAAATCTGGAGGAGTTGACCGTGGCAACCAATCAGCTTCTCTCGAGTTTGTTCAGTTAAGATTTGAAAATGAAACAGAGAAGCTGATTGGTTGCCCCAGTTTTCATAAATTCCCCTCTATGTATTCTTTATGTATAATGACGTTACTATACTGCTATTGTTGCAGCAGTGCGGAATATTTATACACTATATTGCCAGAAGCATTGGGCCCCTCCCCCTCCAAATCATTGGATTCGGGTGTTCCGTGACATTTCCCAGTATGTATTGGGGGTACAGTAGGGGAGAAATTGGTGCTGCCCATTCCAGGGGTCCCTATAGGCCCCCGGGCCCCTGACCTTGGCAGATCTGTTCATAGGGAAAGCCGCGAGCACTCCCTCAGCTCCGGATTGGACGAGTTATTCGCAGATCTCCGTCGCTATTTATAATGTGTTGTTACAGCAGATGACGCAAGAGTCACTTCAAAGAGCTCCGCCGCTTCCCCCGCGTCTTCCCGATGTTCCCACGTCCTGCGCCGTGGGCTGCCTGTCAGCGATTAATCCACGCTGTGACGATCGGGGGCGGCTGGAAGGGGGGGGGGGGGGGGGAGATGCCGGCGTCCACTTCCCTCTGCTGATGGCTCGGCAACGTATTTATTTCTGCGCGTTCCTCTGATGTTTCGTCCTCTTCATAACCTTTATCCTAAAGATTTGTTTACTTACACACTATAGCTTTTATGTCGCAGTTGTCTGGTGACCCCGGCTGGCAGGGACAGTCCTGGATGCCCAAGATTTGTCCCCCGGGAATGCCCCCCCCCCGGTCTTGAGTTCTGTCTAAATTTTCCA